GGTCGAAAACGAAAACGCGTTGGGTCGAATCAAAAACGTATTAATACGTTGCAAAAATTAAACGAAATGGTTTTACCGTCAAAAGTTTGCATATTATTTCTAACAGTTTATAATAATTCACCCGAGTGATCTTGTATTATACAGAGATACCCACCTTTTGAATCACCCTATCAATAAATAAAACCTCATCTAAATCCGTTGCGTAGTTCTAAAGTTCTAAGCATATATAGGGACAGACGGCGAAAAGCATCTTTGTTTTATACTATGTATTGTAAAGCTTCCTCAAGCAATATCTTTAAAAGTTTAGTCAAAATATGTGGATAATAAGTATATTATATTTCAAGAAATTTGTTCATCTGTTATATAATACAAATCCAAGTAAATAAGATATCAACAAAACGATGAGGCGTTCCGACAAAAGGCACGTAGTACCCTTGCGCTTTGTTTAGCTCGTGTGGCAGTCACTTCCCTGGCCTTTAATTGCAAATTATCCCAATTCTGTTAAAGAACTCTCTAAGCTAAGCTGTAATATCAATTATCGTTTTTTACCGTTCTTCCGATGTCACATGTAATAAACAAAATAACCCATAATTCTCCTGTGTAAGATAATATAACCACTTTTGTAATTTAAGGTGTCAATAGCAGTCTGTAGCAGCATTTGAGACTCAACCGAATAAAACCTACTACAAAAGGTTATAAAAGTTTTATTTCTATTAAACTTTGATGGTCTAATAGCGTTGTGTTAGATATTATATTATTACACAATAGCAAAACAGTATTAAAAACGCAATATGACAGGATTAAAACTGAATTTTGACCAGTATGTGTCTTTAATATATCCACCTATCCGAGTGGAGTCTTCCAAAATCTCCCGAAGTTTCATTTATCTATAAAACATTTTATAACACTTTTATTATGCGCTTATAAGAAATAAATCTATTAACGGTGTTAAAAGTTTACAAGTTAATTTCCTGTACTTTAACATGTTGTATTAATAAAAATCATCATTAAGTAACAAGTGGATAGGAAATAAAAATAATAGCTTCATTATGAAAATAAACAGATTCCAAACTTATAGGCGTAGTTGATGATTGCGCAACTCAAATCAATAGAATACTCTATTCAAAGCGCCGTAAAACATTGTTTTCTTTGTTTATTTTCTATGCACATAATATATTTATGTTAATATTAAATACGCGTTTGTTTTGTTATGAATAAATTAAAACAACTAGCGATTTAATATACTGTTAACTGTTAGCTTGTATTGGTGAACTGTCGGCAGTTGGCTCGAGTTGTGAGTCAGAATGAATTTATGTGGGTCAGTTATTAATTTCGCTTAAAATATTAAACAATATACTGGTGATATGACGTTTTAAAATATTAGAACGAGTATACAATAAATAAGTTATTGATATTTAAAGCGAATCGATATTAATATTTTTAGTGAGAGACTATAATGATATCTTACGTAGGTAATTACTTATTTTAGATATAAACAGTAAATAGGTTGGACCAGTAGCTCGGTGGCGTAGTGGTTAAGCGCCGCGGCCCGCGATCGTAGTCGTTAAGCAACTATCGCAAGGATCGGTCACGGGATGGGCTGACCAAAACATTACTATCTCGAGCTACTCTGAGCTTCGGAAGGCACGCTAAGCCGATGGTCCGGGCTGCATTTGAAGTCGTTAATACCCTCCAATCCGCACTGGCCCAGCGTGGTGGGTCATGGCCCATCCTCCTTAAACATCCATAAGGAAGGCCTGAGCCCCTGCAGTGGGGACGAAAAAGGGCTGGTGATGATGCTGATGAGGCTGGACCAAAGACAGTTGTAAGACAATAAAATTTACCTTTATCCTATGGGGTGACCCCATAGGACAAAGGTAGATACGAGTGTTAGCTAGTAAAAAGTTTGTTTTCCATCTGTCTGTCCATATGTGTGCTTAGATTAAAACCACGCAATGAATTTTGAAGCGGTTTCTTAATAGATAGGGTGATTCGAAATGGATTATTTATACAGATTTTTATGTATAATACAGGACAAAGCTAGTGAACAATAAAAGGCACAGATTAAAAGCACGCGTTCAAACAAATTAATGGAAACCAATAAATTTTTGCAAGACAAACATTTGTCGTAACAAAGCCTCAGCTCTGTCAACGTGTGGGTGTTAGTCTGGAGTAATTTTAATTTATGAAAACCACATTCTGTATTGTGCCTAATAATAAATTATTGCGGTAACTGTTTCTTTAGTTTCCGCGCTCTCTAATAATTAAGTTAAATAGTTTTTAATTTAATCCTATGGTGCGTTTATTTTAATTTTACTTCCTTAGTTAAGTAGTCATTAGACTGATGCTGTTACGTTTCTTAAAATATGGTTCAGCGAAGCGATGGCTGGCAGGTGGTGGCTGATGAACAGGTGCTGATAGTAGAGATGAGTCTACGTATGTTTTAAAAATAAAAAAAAACTATTTTGACTATTTTTAATGTTTAGTTTTATTGTATTTTTAGATTTTTTTTTTGATAAAGAGGAGCGAGATCCTCTGGTACAAGCGTCTATTATGTTAGTTAAAAGGAGGTCTCAACCTATGTACTGAAAGTTTATATTTAGAGACAACAAAATATTGTTATTATTATATACGTTGACGAATGATTTCGCAATTTTTTTTGCCGTATATTTAACAACCGATTGCATAGAGTTTCGACTATCAGATTAGCTTGTAACAGCCGAGACCAAATAAATGTTTTTATTTGATTAGATTTAATATTTCGGTTTTTATTAACTTAAATTTATAGACTTTTTGTCTCCTGCAACAATGCTTGAGACTCCTTGCGGTGCCGCGGTGACGCGCGCGCTTAAACACGTGACAATTAGATGTCATTTTATGACAGGAGCACGGTGATAGAAACAATAAGTAACCGTGGCAAAATGTCACCAGTCGACCAATCGCCAGTGTATAGCATATGTCACCCATGTATGATGTAGTTTTCCATAAGTAAAAGAATTTTTAAAATGGTGAATTAGTTTCGTACGTTAAGTACGGATTTACGCTACTAAAAAATCTTAGAGGTAATAATTATGAGTAAATATGTTAATCACTCCACGTGCTGACATTTCTCACGGTTCGATCCACTAGCTTCGATCCAAAGTTATGATAACTCCTGATTACCTCTGATCACCCGTTTCCAAGCCCACATTGCCCACGCGGTAATTACAACGAGGTACGTTAGCACCACACACTTTCGTCCGTGACCATTCAATTACGTGTAATAACTCGACTATATTGAAGCCTATCAATTTGTCCGTCAATACGGCTGACCTTCATAAGGTGTATTTATACTGGTGACAAACTATATTTTAACATTTTATTTGATGTCTCCTCAAAGCTAGATGGCGCAACGGTTACCGCGATCAATCTGTCGCAAAGGCCAGTCGTAGGACGGGTGACCAAAAATGTATTATTACTCCGCCTTGATTCGAACGGCATGTAGAGCCATTGATTTTGTGAATGGAAACGGATATCGTGATACCAGGTTAGGTGAATTCATCTGAGGTCCAAACTACCGATCTATGCCTAAAATCTCCCACTGATATTTTCAAATAAAAGGTCTGATAGCTCAATGTATAATTTTGTTTAATTTCATTGTATAACAAAGTTACCAGTTGTATTATATTTTCTTCCAAAAACAAAGTTATTTCAGAGAAATAGTTAGTAGGAGCCCGGATACGTTTTGTGAAATTTATCTTAGAAGTTTTATTTTTATACTTGCACCAGCTGTTTTTAAGGAACTTTTCTCGCCTAAATTATATCATCAGCGTATGATTCAGTTATCAGTAGGTGCAGGAATTCTTAAAATCGGTCAAGTAGTTTCGAGGCCTGTTCGATGCAAACAAACAAACAAACAATTTAATCTTACCTCTTTTATCAGTCATTACATTCGTTTGGTGTGTGAACGTGCCCTTACCCCACACGTTTTATATTCACTTAAAAGTTTTGAAAGCAAACTTGTTAATTATGCTCGCATCAATATCGTTTACGATATTTCAAGATCGGTCTGTAACGTGTTTTGAGTGACGTTACAATTTTGATGCTGGCATGATTTAAGATGAAAGTTCACTGGTTCACGTACCACAGTTGATAGATAGTGATTCTAGTGTATAATCTTGTTATTCTATATATCTGTTAAACATGATTTATCTTGTATTTGATTAATTTTGCATTCACAATACTATACTCAATTATTTATCTTACTATAATTCGACATTGTACTCTTGGCACGAAAATTTTCGTGTGCAAATCGAATTTTATATATGGACAGCGCCATCTAGTTTAGCAAAGAGAACTAAAGCTTCTCAGATATGACATCATAAGTTCGCTTGTTAAAATTTCGTCTGGTGGAGTTTTTGGTTTGAAAATAAAAATAAAATTTTCCATTTCTTTAATTACAAATCGATCTAACCGTTAGAAAGTTCATGTTCAAATATTTAATTAAAGGGTTCGTAAAAATTTGATATTTATAATAAATATCAAAATCATGCATATGAAAAGCTGCGATTTTGAAGCTGCTAGTGGCTTTATTTAATATTTGAAATTTAGATCAAAGGTGTAAAATACAGAATGAGTTTGATATATTTAATATGTGTTTATTTATTATAAATCAATTAAGTGTGAAGTGCGTGTGCGTGTGTGCGTGTACTCAGATTAATAATACGATAAATATTGTAAGTGTTACTTGATATATCAACGTATAAATCCATCGATATATATCATCATATAATATCCATTGACATTTATGAGCGAACCCTGCTTTTATAATTGGAATTCTCTTAATAATATAGACAAAATATAGATGTCGCTGTAATTGGATTGTTTGAAATCTCTATCCAATATTGTCGTAAATAGTGAGGTTATCCAATCTCAGCGATTAGGTTGCTCGTTGAGTTTTACGATTTTGCTATCTATGGGGTTTCGTGTGTTGAAATCGGATTATTGTTTTAGATTTCTATCTATATCTTCGCATCGCTCCTCACATACATTTTAACCTGCTCTATTTTCGTTAGTCTTTTCCTACGTGTACGTCGGTTTACACATTTCTATAAGTAATAAGTGTACAAATATTCATATCTACACTGTCAGTTTATACAATTCGCATTCGAAATTATATTACTGTAGTTATGTGTATGTTTTAGATACTGTCATATTGCTGATCATTCCAGAAACATTATTGATTAACTTTCGAATTCATCGCCGCTAATTAATTATTTTTTTCTCGCTTTGTAACATTAGCTAGTCGTTGTCAAAATTAAATATCTCGAAAGAGTTTTTTTTATTCACATGAAGATGAGGCTTAAATTTAATTTGGGTCATCGATAATTAATGAATCATTATGAAAGTGTTGTGTGATCATAATTTTTAATGAAGATTGTTTTAAATTAGTATAAGATTTAATTTTGTATAAGAGAGTAGGTACTGTAGGAAATGCACATCAATTGAAAAGCAATTTTTTATCAGTTTTATAACAACATTTTGTTTTTTTTTGAGGTCAATCGGTTAAAAGATCGTAAAAAGATTATTGCATCAATGACATATAAGAATAAACGACCAATTATTTTAATAATTCTTAAACTGGCCCAATCGGCTAGTTGACAACTTTTTTTTTATTTCATAAAAAAAAATAAAGAAGTAACAGCATGTCTGCGATTAATAATTTCAGAGATACGGTGCTATGTTTGTAGAACTGCTACTAGTTGGCCGAAAACGCTCCCTACAAATTCAAGACACTCAGTGATGTCACACGGTGCTACAGTAGCGAAAAATGTATGGGCGTCTGGACAATTTTTGTAATATCTTTGTTATTTGTGTGTTTATATTTATAGCTGTTTTAATAAAAGTTGTAACATTTTTTATATGTAATTTAATGCCTTATGTATTTTAGAAAATTTTTGTAGTACATTTTCTCTACTTTTTTCAAGTTTTCAAAGCGTAATATTTTCCAAATCAGTGACTTAAAATTTGTTTTGTTAAACATTTATAAGTTAAAATGGTTCATATTTTTCGAAGATATAACAAAAAACTGTATTTTCACTTGTAGGACACAAGCCTATTGTATCGTCTGAAAGCTACCCCGGCTTCTTTAGGCAGCCCAGCCCAGCAGTTAAATATCGCTTAAGAGTTCTAGTGGGGTTTATGGTCGGTCATTTATGTAATCCTTAAGGAGCATAATAATATGCTGTTTTATAGTTAATTACATAAAAAAAAACCATTTTTCAAGCAAGCTTTGCATGGAAATCAGTCAGAAATGCCTCTTTATTGTAATATCTCAATATTTCAAAAAGGTCGAGTCCAGGCAAAAGGTAGTTTAGTAAACAAACCACAGTACACACCAATGCAGCCGTATTTTTTAAGTTCTTACTGCAGTTGCTTTATAATTGTTTTCGTATTCTAAATTTGTAAATGAAATTTACTTTTAAACTCTGCATTATCAATGTAAATTACCAAAAAGGTTTACATAGCAAGTCACCAACAGACACAAACCTTTTGATCACCGAATCGCATCTGTCTTCGAGCGTTCCTGGCGACGTTCATTCTACAGAGGAACACGCGGTCTTCACCGTCCGCTGGCGCCCTTGATAGCTCTGTTCTGACAGCTTGCTGGTCTTGTTTGTCTATGACGTCGTATACGCTATCACCGTGGATGAGGAGGTCCTCCTGCGAAAGAGTAATACTTTTAAATGTTATATAACTGTTCGCATAGAAGTATAGATATTAAATTATGCGGCATATTAATCGATTAACGAAAGAATATATCTTTGTGTTATTTTTAATATTCTAACGAAAGGAGACTTCATAGTTCAATTAAATCAATTCTCTGTATGAAATAAAATAGAGAGAAAGATTCTTCTTAGTATAAGGTCTCCCGCTATAAATTTCCTAATCGATAAATTAGATATTATCTTTACATATACTTGTAACAGCCTAGACTAAATAAATAAAATTGAAGTCGGCTAAGACTAAAGGTAACCTATTAAGGTTCCGAATAGATCAAATCAGGTTAAACCCAATAATTTTTCGTAGCAAAATGTTAATTTAAACCTAAACGTATTGTTCGTCAAGATATTTTAAAAATTATAAAACATATATTTCATAGATTTAGTACAGAACTAATGAAAACCCGAAATCGAGACTAAAGTGCACATTTCTTCGGAAAAGAGGAGCACCAGTGCCGCTTCATTTCCCCGTTCCTAAATTGTAGAGTCAGGTTAAAATGGAGCTATTAACCCGACAAACACAGCAAGCAAAACTGTGTACAGAAACAAAACAAAAGAAAGGCTAGAGGAATGCTAATTACGGAACCAAAGCGTCACCGCAGACTAAGCGTTTTTATTTTTGAAACAGCCTTATACTTAGGCAGATTGCTTCGAAATTTTCATCAGTATTGCGACCGCAAAGTATATTATTTTAATCGCGCCGCATCACCTCCAGTGTACATATAAAACGTAGCACTCGGTGATCTTTAATACGTCCACGTAAAGTTCACGTTTGAAGTGCATTTGTAATTTATGGCTGCCCGTAAAACAATTGTTGGTCCCGGCGTTAGTCTTTGAAATGGAAACACATTTTTTTGAATTAATAATGCCTAAATGTTCAACATCCTGTCTGTATGGCTTACGTTAAAATGTGTGGTGTAAAAATTATTATACGAGTTAATTTTATGAACTGTTCTTAATTACGTTTTAAATATATTCTTATTTCTTCCTTCTCTCTGTACCTCCGCTTACGTTCTCGTCCGCTTTCATATATTGTTTATATACAAGTTAAGATGAAATATGTTAGTCGCAAAATCGATCTAAAAACCTATCATCTTTGCGATTTTTTTTCCATCAATCTAATTATCAAAATTTGTGTTTCTGTTTTATTTTTAATTTTCATATATTATAATTATTTGGGATATATGAGCATAGCCTTAGAATAAAATTAAGCCTTAAATGCATATTTTAAGTCACTCATATAAGATTTAGTGAAATAACAGCGAACACAAAATTGTTGTAATTTAAAAATACACTATAGGGTAGGACATCCGAATCTGATCGGAGGGTAAAATTCTCTGTAAAATATGGTTTAATAGTTAAACAAAATTTTAATGGATATCTTAATTTGATCAGATTTACCTTGGTATAACTTTATAAGTCGACCAAATACGATTGATAATTGCGTACATAAACAATTTCCTTTTGCACTTTACTAAAACACAGTAATAACTAAATCACCTTTAATTTATGAGTGTTTCTACTAAAGTGAATGTAAGTATAAAATCATTCAATGGGTCATTTGACCATAAATGGCAGTCAAAACAATTAGAAGCTCTTTAAATGGCATAAATAAATTAAAAATGGTAATGATGCTAGAGAATTCAGTTGTATTATATTTTTTTTACGAAAAGGGCTAGAACATCCATTAAAAAGAGGAAATTACTTTTATAAACAAATAGATTTTATGATGTCAATTGCAATGAAGAAAATATAGATAACTATTTAATTTAAACAAACTTATTAGCTTTTATAATAAAAACCAATTTATTCGTTTATCTTAATTGAATATTGATTGATTAATAATACTGAAGTAGCTTCTTAGTAGGCAGAAATGCATATGGTAACTTCTAAGTAACAAAAATTCTGTTATGTACGTAAGTGGCAAATTAGATTAATGAAATGTAGTCGCAATAATATTTATGTTGTACTTATTTTATTTATTTACTACAAATATTTTCCTATGATCTAAGAAGAAGTAAAATATAATAAGATCTTTTTCTTTTATAAAAAACTGGAACTTTATGACAGGTATTTAAATTTTAATGTGACACGCGAATCAAAACATTCTATGAATCACAGTATGAATATCAGACGCAAATCCCGTAGTCATATTGTTTTAATTTTTATTTAACTTTTTATATTTTGTTTCATATAATTATACCACATTTATATATCTATAAAATCTACTCAAACCACAAATTTATCTTTAATTTAAATATTCACAGTAGCTCCAACTTATCCGCTAACATAAATTTAAATAAATTTCCCTCTCTCAATGGACACTGTACTTTATGAGGTCCAGCCACAGACTAACATTTCAACGGAGTACATTTAAACGAACGCAAACAAATGAAAACGATTCCGAAATGGTATCCGGCACAAAACAATAGACTATCGCCGTATTATCGTAAACAAAGGTGAGTACCGACCGTAGGATTATCTTGTTCTTGCCCGTATTAAACACACATTTTAAACATAATTATGGGCTAGCGCTCTAAAGACGGACGTGGACCTCCCCTACATTGCTGACCCCAGGCCGGAGGGTCAATAATAGTAAGAAGTTTTACTTTGCTTTCCGTTAAAACAAATTTCAATTAGCTTAGGTTTCTGGTTTGTTTATTATAGTTTTAATTAAATCATACTTTCTTTGAGAAACACGAGTGGTGTTTATCTTTTGATTGCGTTTTCTTTGTAGGGCTGTATGGAAAGTTGAAAGATGATAGTTTTTTTTATTTAACTGCATTGTACTAATTATTTTTAAATATCATCAATTAGATAAGGCGGTTTTTGCTAGTATTTGACTTTATCTCCTTTTATCTACACTAATATTATAAAGAGGTAAAAAATATTGGCCTGAGCTGAAAATTCTTTCACCTACAACAAGCTACATTATATGCAAGAGAAATAGGCTATAACTTACGTGAGTGAAGTCGCGGCAAAACAGATAGTGTGTGATAAAGTAAGACGGTGTACTCAGTCCTCCTATTGAGTTGATCAAAGGCTTAAAAATATAGAAGCTTAAAATCCCTAGAGTAAATTGAAGAAGTTTATGTTATGACTGACAAATAGGTGCTAAACGGATTTCATAGCTTATAGCGTGTTTATTGATTTTCATCAACATGTTGCTGCCTGCACCCTGCTGGCAGCCCTGTCTGACGTCACGCGTGACGGCCCCGCCCACCTGTCGCGCGCGCCCGCTTTAAGACATAATTGCGCGCGCGCTTGCCGCCCACGCGCTTACATGGGGGGCATAACATGTGAAATTCGAGAGAAAAACTTCGTGTGAACACTTAATCGCAAGTATTCTATTGATTTTTATGCTGAACCTTCAAACGTCCTTATGTCAATTTTTTATCTTTACTTAAAGTTTAATTTGTGATATTTCTAATAAAATCTTCAATAACTGTAAAAATACAATATATTGATACAATATTATAAATGCGAAAGTATCTTTGATTGTCTATTGCGTTTTTTATGCTATCATTAAATCGATTTTAATGAAATTTTGTACAGAGATAGAATTGGTAACCGCTAGTCACGGAAAGGTTGACTACAAAAGACCTAGAAATCGTATTCCATCAGGTGGGTTGACCAGATCCATACAACTTTGGAAACTAATTTAAACGTTGCTCTTCATTCAGAGGAAACTCTTTAAGGAGAGGAACAAATAGCCGGAATAGACCGGAAGAAGACTTACCCAGAATAAGAAATTCTCAACCTCAGTACCTCAGTAGTGAGGTTGAGCACAATTTGTGCGAGAATGGAAATTATTGCAGACAACACATAGCAGCATCATCAGTTATCATAAACTCTTACATCAAATTTTCTAAATTGATTTACATCTCTACCAAGAGATCTGTATAACCTGAATGTGCTGTTGATTATAAGCATATGAAATATGAAACACGTGAAAAAATCGTCGTGTCGTCAGCGGTAGTGAGGGCCAAATTAGCACTTTCGGATAGTAAGGTTTGGGGTAATCAAATTTCGATTAATCGAGATACTCCTATATTCATAGGTACTCTCAAAACTGAGAATTATTTGTGTGATTAATTAATTAAGGTTTGTAACACATGTAGTACAAAGAGATGATAGATTAAGAACTACTGTTATATTAATTAAGGCCTCTATACAAATGGACCCGGATTGCTTATCCACCATTTATCAATAGATTCGAAGTTTGCTATTGATAGATTATTGATTTTATAATTAAATCACTTTTTATGTTGCCCGAAATAGAGTTACAGTTTGTTTGCTATAGATATTAATTTAAAAATAGTTTACAAATAGTTGCTATAGATATTAATAGTTTGGAAATGGAAAACTTTCTTTTTAGTTAAACGGACTGTAGGTGATCACGCCAAAGTGAAAGATATTTTTGCTTTTATTAATAAAACCAACTTTTTTTTTTTAACTACAAGGCGAATTAGTTCTGAAAGCTTCTTTTGGGTATTGATATTAATTATGTATTAAAAGAATATACATATAACGGAGATCGGAATACTCATCGAAATTACTACTTTTTTATACTGGTAACAAAATAAGTGTCTTTAATACTAACCACCCAGTTGCACAAATGTCTTTCTAATGTTAGATTAAGACGACGTCACCAATATTTTCAGAACATTAATTAGAGTTTATCATCACTAAACACAGTATTAGTCATCACTAAACTTTAATGGACGTTTGTGCAATGTACAGCAATGGTTTTTTTTCTTCTTTAAATATCTACAAAATTAAAACAAAAAGAAACACAAAATCATAATAGTTTTCAAAGTTCTCTTTGAACCGGACATAGATGGCGTTATTATATGGTTAATTTACATTCATTTTTTCAGGTAAACAATCAATATTCAGTCATTTCATTTTAAAACATTTTACGTCATAGGTATTATAAAATTTAATAGCAGATGTAGACCATTATCCGACCAAAGTAAGTTAACACTTCTTAATTTTATGTTTTCCCTTTTGTCACGGTCAATTTGCCTTAGGCGATCACTGGTGTAGGTAAGCTAAGATTGTAGCCAGTTTTATCCTCG